GCCGCACAGCCGCGCGCAAGGCTTGACCGCCTCAGAGGCGCCCTGGTCACAGTTGTGCCTGATGGACCCCGCTCTTCGGCGGCGACGGGGCCGTGCAGAAATGAAATCGGCTGTGGCCAGGCCTTGCCTGCGTTGACCGAGACATTTTTCTGGGCCGGCGTCTGTTTTCTTCCCTTGAAAATCCAATTAAAAATAGCAAACAGCGCCCCGGCCTTCGTGGGCGGTGGGCAGATGCGCGAGGACAGAAGCAGCCCGACCAGAAAAGTGGGTATTTTCATAAAGAACGAAGTCGCCTGTTATTCACCGGCGGCCCCGCTGATGAAAACGTATGATGGGGTGCCTGTCCCACGCCCGAGGCAGAAAGCGCCGCAGGCCTCTCGGATGGCGCTACCTTTTCGCACATAGAAAATGGCATGGGAGCAACTCGCTGCGCCTTTCTCTGATTCTTCGGGTCTCGGGCTGCTGACACGCATTCGATCAGCTTTAAAGGAACGCGCGTAGATCAGCGAGCCCCCGCCGTCTCCTCCACAGAGGCCCGCACATCCGAAGGGGCGCCCCTTAGCCCACCGAGGCTGCAGCTGAGCAGTCCCGGGGCAGCCTCCGTCTCCGTTCTGAGCCTCCAGCCTCGCGTCTCAAGAATCCGCAGAGAGGACGGGAGAGGCCGCATCTTCCCCAAACACACTCAGCAGGGTGTAAGCGGTGCAGATTACACGGTGAAATCGCTGTCCCTGCCCGCACACCGCACTATCACCCTCAGCGGGATTGCACTGCCCCGTAATTTTTAAGAAAACATTTCAACTAGGTTAAAAATTTCTTAAAAATTCTTTCTTAAAATTTTTTCTCTCAAAAAACAAAACAAACAAAAAACAACCCACACAATTTAAATGCATGGCTTCAGCTCTGCGTCAGGCATTAATAGTAGTGAAATGAAAAGTGACATTTTACAATCATCCACTTAAAACACCTTAATAAATTTGACAGCATTAAGAGCAGATGGGAAAAGTAGGAGTTTTTTACCCCCTGAATTCCATATGTACAATTTTTTTAATGGCAACATGACAGGCCATTACAGGATTTAAAATCTTTGCTGGCTTCATAAATGAAAACGGTGTCCAGGCGTTTGCATATTTACAGTCTTATGCGGAGAGTTTCCCTTTAAAGAAGCATACTCAAGTCAGCTTCAACAGCACTATCCCAGGGGCTGGCGTTATTCTCCCTATATGGTGGCATCCCCCTGAATGGCTTTTTTTTTTTTCTCTCCCTAAAGGTTTAGACTAATTGATTTGGGGGCATTAGGGAGCCATCATAATCCAGGCTTACTTCAGGTTGTCTGGTAGATCCAGGAGAATTTTAAACAAGAGGGGAGTTAGGTAAGATCAACATTATCAACAACCATTTTAGAATGAAGAGAGGGTAATAAAAAACAACAACTCTGAAATATCTTCTGTCATTAGTTTCAAAAACTGCAGAAAGAGAGAGAGAGAGGGGAAAAAAACGACTACTTTACCCAGAGTTCCTGCAGTGGCGATGGCTGGGAAAGGGGCGGTATCCCGCTGCAGAGCTGCTGTTGGCCTCCTTCCTAGGCCTGAGGCTCCTAGTATTTCTTACATCTAAAGAAAAATATCCCCGTCAACAGGAGAGTCCCCTTTGGAGCTATTCGTAAACACACAGTTTGATCCAGTTTTGAGGGGGATTTCCCGCCACTTTAAACATTTGGGGCGAAAGTTGTGACTCTGGAATGACAGCAGCTCATTCAGAAATGGAGTACTGTGGCACAAAACTTGGGGAGGTGGATCCGAAGCATCGTTTTCATTTGTTTCCACAAGTAGAGTCCCCAGGGCAGCAAAATTTGATTGCACTTCACAAGGCCTTTCCGTATGTATGTTTTAAGACCACGCTGTTTTTGAGGACAACTTTAGAGATTCTCTAATTCTCCATCTATAAACAAGCTGTACGTCTTCCGGTTGGAGAGGTTTCCATCAGGTTTGAAACCAACCAATATTATTTTCCATAAAATGATGAATATAGTTCTTCTGGTCACAATGGCTTTCCTCTAACATAAAAATAAAATTAACCTCAACTCAAAATTCTGCATCAGAAGGCTCCTGGTTCCACTAACATTGCAGTACATATGTGCATAGCATGGATTCCACAAAAACACGTTACCCTCTGTGTATAGTAAATATATAAACATACATATGTATTATTTATTACTCTAACCACAGCCCTGATGTGTTGTTGGGGGTCAGAAGTAGTAAATATAGTACTTATTATTATTATAGTTTTGATGGTGGTTGTTCATATTAAATGTATATATTTCTTCCACAAATCAAATGGCAGCTCTGCAAACATCAATATAAGATTGCCCACCTCCCAGGAGCAGCACTCAGCTCTGAGCTATCCAGGATAACTCTCCTTCTGCATCTGTATTATGGTCATTTTGTAGACATGAAATCTTTAAGCTCTCCATACTGACCTCTTAAGAGGTGGGTTTCTTTGAATCTCTGAAATGTAACTCTAGAACTCTAGAGTTAGTGAGGCATCTGAACCTTTTTATTTGCCGTATAGTCTCCCCTATAGCTGTAATTAGGATGGTAGACCACCTTGGAGGGTGAGGCCCGGGAAATAATGGTTATTTAAGAACACCTCTTAGATTGTAACAAAAATGTACAGCTTTAAAGGAGATCTGCAGAAGTCTGACACAGAGCAAGTCACTATGAAGACAACTTGAACTTAGCCATTAAAGAAAAGGAGCAAACTTCATCATGTAAAGTACATTTTGCACCTCAACTCTAGAAATTACCTTAAATTACAACATCTCAGGTCATCAGTAATTAATGACACTATATCTGTACAGATTCTACAAATATATATATATACAAGCACACACAAGCACTGGTCAGCATATATGTATACACATATATGATCTATATTCACATATGTACAGACACATGTATAACTTACATATATTCAAATTTGCTCCATCTGGAGCAAAAGAAATGAGCACTAAATCTCTAAGGAGTCAAGAAGGTAAGACCTTTTGATTCCCTTGAAGCTGAAGAATTACAAGGAAGCTTGTCAACGCGAGGTGGCGCCCTTGATCTACTAATCCAGCCGAGGCCAATTCATGAGCTGTCAAAAGTCAAGGTCACAAATTGTCTTTTTTCGTCAAGGTCAAGGTTTAAGGCCTTTCCTAGTCCTGTCATTTCAACAAATATCAAAACCTGCCCTCTCAGACTCATGCAGACCCAACAGCAGATTTTAAAATACGACAGCTTGGTATCGCTGATACTAAACAACTGGTTTTCATTTTCTGCAGGGAGCCTGAGAATTTATACTATCTCTTCCTCCTTTCTTCTTTCTCCTTTTCAGAATCCATGGCATTTTAACCTTTTTTGAAGCACTTTTCTAAAATTTTAGGATTTTAGTTATGAGGGATTTCTCCCTTTGCTTAAAAAATTTGTAGGGGGGGGGGAAGCTAAATAGAAAAGAATGGTCCTTGGTTTGTGTAGGACAAACCTGCTCCTTTTCTTTCTGTGCAGCGCACGTTTAGCATGGGAAAATAATGAGTATTTCCTTCAGATTTTAATGGCAGTGACTACTTTATTAACATAATTAACACCACTATAGCACTATCTACAGGTCTAAGGTTTTTTTTAATTATTATTTTTAGTTGAAATATTTGGAAAGCAGGTGCACAAATACATTTTCACAGTGTGCTGAATGTCTTTATTTACAAGATAGCATTTTATAGTGAATATGAACAAATGACTGTGCTGACTGAAATAACTGCTTGATTAAAAGTGTGCTGTGAAGATGAATTCCTAAGCTTTCTAATGCGGTCTCATAACACAATAAGCAAGGAAAAATATGAATCCCTTAACAGATCACAATATAGAATGTAAACATCTAAATGTTTCAGGGTAATGGATTTTCATTCCACGTTTTCCAAAAAAGAAAAATCATTTCTTCCGCAATATATTTAATAAATATTGGGAAACAGCAATTTAAATGAAAAAGAAAATTAATTATATTTAAAACAAAGTCCACCATGTTGGGGTGGCACCTCTTAGATCTCGAGATCTGACATAAAGTGAATTCTGTGAATTGTCTGATGTTTTGAATATTTAAAAAAAAATGAGATCAAATCCTTTGGAAAGTAAATTATATCAGGGCAGAAAACATACTCCAAATGCTACAAAATATGCTTGTTATAAGCAAATAAAGATTATTATCAGAAGGACATTCCAAACTTGGGGTTCCCTTACAGCCTCAAAGACTCAGCTGGTTGTATGACTACCAAGACAAACGATCCTTGGAGGAGCTTTCTCTCCCTATCTCCCTTCATAGAAAATAGTCCACAATCATTACTTCAGTACCTTCTTCTCTTTCCCCCTCTAAATCTATACATGACGTGTTCTGCAGAATATACAACAATGGTAGGGTTTCAACTGAGATTTACCTGAGCCGTCACTTAACATGCAAAGGGGATGGCGATGGCGAAGGACAAGCAGATGTTTACAACAGCCTCTTGCTTTTGTAACCAGTTTTCGGATTATTACCGTATAACATAACGTCCTAAAATATAACGGTCACATAAATACTTACAGGATTTCAGTAAATGCGTAACTTATCTGAAAATGCATATTTGGGGGTTGACATTTGACACCAGAGTTTGTCATTTAATGGTCTGGTGGGGTTGGCGGAAGAACTGGCAGTCTTTACCATTGCTTAAAGTTTTAAAATAGTTGATTCCACCAAGGAGAAAGAGATTCCCCCCTCAGGAAAGCGAAATGCCAGTGTCTCGCTTTCTCTTTCCCATTCTTCAATTATTATTAAGCATTATAATCATGATCTGGGTAAAGCAATGAGTTCCGAAGCGTTCTCTTCAAGTTGCCTTCCTTCTCCGCTTTTAATCCATTAACTAGTGGTCTTCAGTTTGTTGATGACTTTTTTCTCTTTGACCCTCCTGTTCTGGAACCAGATTGTAACCTGCCGCTCGGAGAGATTCGTGGTGGCCGATATACGCCTCCGTTTGTCCTTGGTAATGAATTTGTTTGTAGCGTATTCCCGTTCGAGTTCTTTTAATTGCACCTTGGTGTAAGGGACGCGCTTCTTCCTCCCCCGCCTGTAGGAGCTGGCGTCTGAGGGATGAGAGACCACGTCTGAAAGACAGGGGAGAAGTCAAGTTACACAGGGAACGCGGGCCAGGACACAGGGGACAGCTTGATCTGAGCTCTCCGCGTTGCAGCGCGGGGTTACGCTTTGCCACGCACTGCAAAATCCAGCCTTTTGCCCAAACCTGGAGGGTCAGTGGGGAGAGTGATTAGTTCTGCACTGAAATGGAATTACCCAGGACTCCAATGACCGTCCCAGCCAGGCCAGCAGCGCACCAGGGTTCCCTTGATCGCCTGGCCTACAGGCCCACACCTTAGCACTGGGCTAAGGGGACAGCAGTTCGACGCCTAGCTCCTCTCTGTATTCCCCAACCCCTAACACTTGATGCTTCTACCATGAAGCCCTTTCTGAGAGAATGGAATACGGACAATTTAGTAAACCGTTTCCAGGTCAATTTCCCAGCTTTAAGTCGCTGTCAAGGGCTGGGGAGGGCGGGGCACAAAGGGAGAAGGAAACCAGCCTGGGTCCCAATAAGTTATTCCACCCTTCCCTCACCCAGGGAGAGCCAGGAGCCAGCCCGGCTCCAGGGCGGTACGCGCAGCGCCAGTCAGCGGGGTCGGGCTCCCCAGGGTGCAGCGCCGCCGCAAGGGCAGGTCAGGGAGAGACAGCAACGGGGTCCCAGGGTGGCCCGGGAGCAAGCGGAGGAGAAGCTGCAGCCCAGCCGGAGGACCAGAGCTGAGAAGGAGGGGCGCCATTTACCGGGCAGAGTGGACTTCCAGAGGTGGGGAGGCTGCGCCTGCTCTTTGGGGCAGTACATTTGGCCGTTCCAGCCGTTGGGCAGCGCCCAGGGCTGGTAGCTTTCCATGGGAAGACCCAGGGGTTCGTGGCGAGACTCGCCGGGCCCCCCGAGGCCAGGCACCACCGGCATATCCAGGTAGCCAGGCACGGGCTGGTGGTGGTGGTAAGGCCCGGGCGCGTAACCCTGGTGGTAGAAGGCGAACTCCTTAGCGCGGGAGCTGAACTCCTCGGCCGCCGGGCCGGCGGTATCCATGTACTTGTCCGCGAAGGCGGCGGCGGCC